GCATCTTTAAAACTGAGGATTCCGATGACAACCACTTTCAAGTGTCACTGGCCATGTTTTGCCAAGGACGTTGGATATATACTACTTGTGGGTAGTTTGGCAGTATTTCTCAAAGTAAGCGGCGATGTAATCTACACTGGACGACTCTGAAGCAACTCTCAAAAAAATGCTTATACGAGAGTACTGCCACGCATGCCTATATGAATATGTCTACGTAAACCTATTTGGACTCTTGGACGACCCGTCCTCACTGGTTGTGCGGATTCCAAAAAAATTTCCATTCCTCTAGTATTGCTGGTTTAGAGATGGTGTTCCGCTGTAGCCCCGAGGTCAGCCTAGGCAAAGTCAGCCCGAGATAGTCACCACCACAGGCAATCACCGCCGTTGTGGATCAAAAGGAGATTTGCCACCGTGCGATTAGTTTGATACAAGGGCGGTGGTGGATCGTGGCATTGCTTTACGCTTAGCTGGCCTTTCCGGTAAAAACTCCGGACACTTTCTCAGCTTGGAAGACCCTGCTGGAGGATGAATGATCCCTTCATATCGCAGCCAGACGCTCAGGAAAACCCCTGTCCCCAGAAACGATGCGCGGTAGGATGAGAGTGTCTAGGTAAACACAGAAAGTATATGTCAGTCGGGCAAGTAGATACAGAGAGTCCAACCCATTCATCTATGTATTCGGCCTAATGCAAACCACCTTTTGGGATGCAATTAATCTGCCGCCTTCCCATCTGGAACTGGCGTCTAGCCTTCTGGCTAACCAACTGTAGACCACACGTGAAAGGGAGTGCTACTTACCACGAATATTGATGTGAAACTATCTTCCAATTTTTACATATCGGTGCTTCCAATTCGTTACATTTACTTTTTGTTGAACGGTTGTTTAAGATGAATAAAATCAGTTACATCGTTCTAAGAACCAAACAATTCATTCTTTCTATTACACTTAAGCTCAAAGTCCCTACCGTTGGTTTTCAAAGTTCTTCAAATAAGGAGCTATACTTTTGTTAAAGCAAGTTCTTTTGATGTATTATTGATGTATTATTGATGATGATTGAAGTTGATTGATGTATTATTTCAAGCAATGATTACACTAACAAGTTACATGTGGAGTTTCGGAAAATTTATTCGGTGGAAAAAAAGAAAAACTATCTACCGTCACTGTTTCAGCTTCTACTGAAGAGGACACAGAACTAGAACAAAAGGGTAAAAAAGTCACTTGAAATAAGGAATTTTAAAAAGTCTGTACCTCCAGTTTTTTTCTTCCTTACGACATAAAATATGTAGCGGCGAATGAGCCGACAAACCGTATTTCTTAGTTCTTTTCTATCTGCAAAACGATTCAACATTCAGAGGTGACAATGGCTTTCAAACATAATAGTGATAAGATGACAGTGGATAAGAGGTAAAAATGTACGGCAGTACATTGTGTAGTACATTGTTGTCAGTGTTTTAGCATTGGTGCTTGAGCAACTAGAACACTAAAACGCGTGTAGTTATTGCGGCCGTCCAGTACTACTGTCATAAAAGCTTTTTTAATCATTTCAAAATCGTTAAACAGACTAGAACCAATTAACGTTTCCAAGCTGTCAATGCAGCGGATCTCACTCATATTGAGAGATCTCGCGCCGGCCCAAAAGCGACCTCTGCTTCCTCAGACGCAGATGGATCCAGAGTGGGATCCTTGTTTCTACTGCTATGGTTTGGCACATACTTTCTGTATTTGCTAGGCGTATTCATTCATATGAGTGCGGATACTCGCTTATGCGGATTGTATTCTAGCAGTTAATTCGGCCAAAAGCCTGCAATCACGCGACAGGAAAGTATGCGGGAGGCGGTTAGGAGTTACCTCCAACAAATAAGCTCCATCTCCACTCTGGGAGAGCCTGGCAAGCTACCCGTGAGTAAACCAAGACTCCACGTTCAAAGTTTAGCAAGCTATACGCACTTATCGAAAGCTAAACACAGTAAAATAAAGGAGTCCCATTCTACTAAGCACGACAAAGCGCAATGACACGACAGTCAAGAGGAGAACGAGTATGGAAAGGCCGCTGAAATCTCTGAGCCATTCTAAACGGCCTAAATCGGAAAGAGCTAAGGCAACGATCTGTGCCCTCAATGCACGCACACTTGCATCCAAATCCTCGAAAGAAGACTTGGTCATGGAAGTGAGTAGATTAAGGTACGGCGTCATCGGCCTGGTCGAGACGAGACGACACCACCCATTCAACGCCGTCTATAACAGCGGAAAAGAACTGCTCCTCGGAACATGCGACAGTGAAGGAGTCGACGGAGTAGCGTTCTCGTCAACAAGAGTGTCTATGCACATCGATTCATTCGAACAGCTAACAATCCAAATCGAACTTTTACGAATAAAGAGAATTGGGTCAATACGGGCTTTGACAATTTTCGTCGTTTACGCGCTAACGTCAAGTTATGACGAAGAAGAAGTCGAAGAGTTCTATATGGACTTGGAGAAGTACTACAGAGAAGACCACACATTCTTCAAGGTCATCATTAGACATTTCAACGCCAAGACTGGACCAAGAAGAACGTCTGAAAAACGTCACATTAGAACCCATGGACTAGAATAAAACGAACAAGGTGAGCGGATATCTGAGTTTATCATGAAGACCAAGACGACAGATGGTAACTAGCAATTCCAGAAGTCCCAACCTCAACGCTGGACATGGGGCACGTCCATCAATGGACGGTACACAACGAAATACACCGCTTAACAGTAAGTGGAACGTTTTACCTAACCGATGTCGTTGCTGTCCCAAAATTTTACACGGTATCAGACCGTCGCCTCCTTTGCGCAAGATTCTATTCCTCACGGAAAGGAGAAAAAGTCGCCATATTCAAAAAACGAAGTCCTAGAACCACTATAAACTGGGACCTTTTCAATTCACTAGTCGTCTATAGAAAAGATGCCGTTGTCGAAATGTCGACGAAGAATACCATGGGCTTATTTAACATGCTCACGTTAGCGCAATGAAAGCTGAGAACTCGAACGATANCGAAAGTCACCAAAATACGTCTGTCTCCAGAAACACTCGAGCTGATACGCCAGTATGGAATCGTACGGGCTGCAGGCAACCTCGAACTAACCTCCGAATTTGCAAAACAATGCAAACAGATGATAAGAGAAGACCTTAAAGAGCAGCAGCTATGGTCGAAACTGCACAGGCTGGGAAAAGAATTAGCGAAGCCCACAGAAGCTTCATCAATTACGAGAGCAAGATGATCGCACTCCGACGCCCAGACGGAACAGTTACAGCGTCCAAAAGTGCAATGGAGAAAACCATTCACGCATACTACTCAGATCTTTTCGATGGCTCCGTTCTTTCCCCATATAAGATAAAGAAGGACGGATATGTCATGCCACCGGTTCCCCCTTCCGAAATTTGACATGCTATTTCGTCGGTGAAAAATCCAACAGCGCAAGGTTCGGACTCGATAAGATCAGAACACCTGAAAACCCTCCGCCAGTCCTCGTATGCACAACTGCCCGACTGTTCACACGTTAGCCGTCCGAATGAAAGGTCCCTACTCAGTGGAAAACCAGGAAGACCGTGCTATTGTTCAAGAAGGGTGAGCTCCACGATACCTACAGTTATCCTCCAATCTGCTTGCTGTCTGCAGTCTACTAGCTCTTCACTCGAGTCATCCTAAACAAGATTGAAAAAACACTGGATAAAGGGCAGCCATGTGAGGAAGCAGGATTTCGAAAAGGATTTACCACGATGGACTACATCCACACGAAAACAAGACTCACCAAAGTATCGCGAGAGTACAAAAGACCTTTCTGCCTCACTTTCATCGATCTAAAGAAGGCCTTTGACTCAATTGAGATAGAAGCAGTCTTGGAAGCCCTTGAGAGTAAAGGAGTCCCTACTCAGTAGATAAAGATTCTTCGTGAGCTGTTCAAAAATTTCACAGCCGAGTTGTCACCATTCCACAACGATATTAACATTGACGTCAAAAGAGAGGTTAGGCAAGGCGATGGCATCTCTCCAAAATTATTCACCGCCACCCTCCAGAACGTTGTGCCAACATTGGAATAGAATAATATGGCAATGAAAGTCGATTGTCGGCATCTTCGCTTTGCTGATGACATCGTCTTTATAACACCAAACATTAGCCAAGCGGAACGAACGCTTGCCAACTTTGATAAAGTTTGTGGAAAGATTGGTCTCCGGCTAAATCTCACAAAAACGGTGTTCAAGAGAAACGAATTGGCTTTGTATGCCCCGTTCAAGCTCAATGGAACGAATATCTCCGAACGTTCCAGTTACGTCTATCCACGGAAAGAAATCAACATTATGAACGACTTTGCAAGGATGACTGGAGGCGTATTTCGCCCATGCAATGAGTTGTGGGTGTCTACCACTGTAACAAATCACTCTTTTCGCGCTCCCTAAACGAACATGGCATCAATTTTACGTCACTGCATCAATATGGGATTACTAGACTGCGGCCATGGAGTGTGTATGTGTGTGTGTGTGTGTGTGTGTGTGTGTGTGTGTGTGTGTGTGTGTGTGTGGGGTGTGTATTGAAGCGCTCCTCTAACCACAGCCTCGAACAAAACTACTATACCAAAAAAAAAAGAAAAAATCGCATGGAAAACGTTGGGTGTATTATGGTGTTCATGTCCTTTAACCGTCATTTCGTTGGGTTTTCAAAGAAACGTGTTTTTAAGCAAAGTTCGAATTTTAAGTGTACGCTCTCGAAAACATAAATGTAGTTAATGCGATCACCATTTTCCACTTCGTTGCGTCTTATTTGCCACGTCAGCAGAGGCAAGTGCCTGAATGATCTGGGAAGCAGTATAAAACTGTAGAACTTGTAAATTTCCTAATAATAAAGACCATTTTGAAATTGCAATGAGGAATTCAGTGCTCTTTTATATAGCACGGTCTCGCATGGTTGTCGACTGATAATGATTGCCGAGTGAGGTTAATTCATTTTTATGTGAGTAAAGCATGAGAGAAATTTTATCAATTGGTTGCGACAGATCGTAATCTACAAAGATTGCTTTCTGGAGTTCTGGGAGAGACCAGTTCAACATCCTTAAACACTACTGCAGTTCCTCCACAGGCTGTTGGAACACAAATACCCTGCAAAGCAAAGATTTTTAGACGTAAGGAAAACACTTCACTGGTAAATACCTTAGGAGGACACTTAGAAAACTACAACAAATAGAATTCCAAACCGAACAGTAAATTTGGAATTTACAAACGTGAAACATTCTAAGAGTAATTAAATAAACTGTGTGCAAACAATTAAGGACCGTTTATAGTGGTCGACATCAAGCAATTGCTATTATTACTAAATCAGACAGCATTACTTACTTGATAATTGAATGGCCAGTCCTCACTGGTTGTGCGGGCCCAGCATAATGTCCATTTTTCGGAGCCTTGCTGGTTAAGCCATTATGGTTCTCTGGAGTCCCGAGGTCAGTCTGGCCAAATTCTGCCCCAGTTCTTCACCACCACGGACAGTGGTTCAGAAGAAGATTTACCACGATGCAACTTTGATATCAAGACGGTAGCTGATCCTGGTAGTGGTATTGGTTTACTCTTAGCTGGCCTTTCTGGTGGAAACGCCGGACTCCTTCCCAGCTTGGGAGACCCTGCCAGGGGATGAATCCACTGCTGTACATCGCAGTCCGACAGCCGGGATCACCTCCCCTCCACGATGAAGTGGTAAACCGTTGGGAATCAGATAGAATTAGAAGAGAGAAAAGCCTCCGACTCTTGCAATGTGAAGTAAACGTGACATAAGAAACATTCAACTTTCTTGTGGTAAAATCTTCAGTGTTACAAAAAGAACGCTGGATCTCTTATTAGTTCCGTGATCTTGCTATTGCTTAAAACTTACTCTACTTCAACTACAGTCCTACACGACGGTTACTGAAACTCTATTATGGTTCTTTCCCCTATAGCTGCGCGTGATCACAGTTAACTTGCAAAGTAAGCGAATTCCAGAATTAATGAAAGGATGAAATTGCGGCTTTGGCTTCATGTTCGTAAGCATGAATATCGGTACAAAAGTCCTCCAAACTTTTGCAAAAAATCTCTAATATGGTAGAAAAACCAAGCAAGATTCAAACACTAGACAAATTTACGTTGATGAACGTAAAGGGTAATAAAGGATAAAGATCTCGGCGTTGATCAATTCCAGAGGGATGCGCCATGCATTCGATTTCACTAAGCATCGTTTGAAGGTGATTGAATGCATACAATGGCCTTTTCAATAACTCGCGGTGGCCTACCGATGTATCGACCCAGTGCTGCTATCCTCGCAGACAAGTCTGGTACTAATATGCCGACTCCAAAAGGTTGGAAATCTTGGTGGGTCATGGGCGGGGGGATCGACTCCACTTGTGTGCTGCAGGGCGCCTCCGACCACTGCGCCACACGCGTTGATGAACGTAGGAAAATAAATTCAAACATTCCCACCTCATACACCTGCGGTCCGGAGTTTTGCAAATATCTCAGCATCATTGAAGTTATATTTCACAATGTATACCCTGCCTTTAAAAAGAGTAGGCAGTAAATAATAAGTTAAAATTCAAACATCGTTCATGGCAGGAATACTTCGGAATGTGCATCATTTGCGTAAATGTATTTGCAAAAGAGGGAAAGCTGAGGAATCCGGAGGAATGCGATGGCTTGATAGCCTCTACATCAGTAAATTCTTTCTGAACATGGCCTTGTGTGCACAACAAAATGCGTCTGCATGTGAAATTTTCCATGAAGCGTTGTGCTTAACAAAGGACTAAAATTATCACAAAAACTTTTGAGTGACAAGAGCGTGCCATAGAAGTGCTCAGCATCAGGCATTCACCTGCAGTACGGCGAAAATAACGGTGAACTAGTTAACATGAAATTAAAAGCACCTTCACAACACTTGTACGAATGCTTCCATCTTGGTCCGCTTCTCGATCAATTAGCACATAATCGCTAGATTTATTAAAATGGTGCGGCTAAAGAAAAAAGAGTTAAGCGATATAATTCTTTCTACTTTTGTTCAGCAAACACGAGGTGCTATCTTATTTCTTTATTTACGTACAAGCTGACGTTTCGGCGGATTTCGCCTTCCTCAGAAAGGTCAAGTTGACAACAATCTATTCGGCCAAACACCTCCATAACCAAACAGAGAAAACGCTAAACCAGGATTTCAATCACATTGAACACAACTCTGCACACTCACCGCTTTCTATGAGTCTTCAGTATACACTGAGTATATCGCGCGAAGACCGACCGCACAGAATTCACATGGAAGCGTAATGTGCCCCTCCCACCAGAATAACAGGTTTATATACTGTCCAATATCACGCGTGATAACAAGGCATTCCTCCCTGCGGTTCATTTTCGGATTCTTGGAATTAATCCTGAATGCCTCTAGAGTTTTGCACGCTTGTGTTCTCGATTCTTGTGCGAGGATCGTAACCTCTACCATTGGGACAAATTATGCAATTTTGCGTTGCATATAGACAGTCATATAGGCGGTTACGAACTAGCTGGCATCTTAGATTACTCGGTGGTATTTCGACGAAAATTGCAAAATTTGCCCCAGTGGTAGAGACGGTGACTGCATGAGTTCGGGTACAGTCTATCTGATCTCTTGTGAAGCGTGCGGGGACGAATACGTTGGTGAAACGGCTAGACCACTCTGTGTACGTATAAAAAAACACCTAATCGGCAAACGTAAGCCAAATACTCCACTAGGCAAGCATAGCACGCAGAGACATAACGGAAAAGATTTTGAAGTAAGGGTTACGATCCTCGCCCAAGAATCGAGAACACAAGCGCACAAAACTCTAGAGGCATTCAGGATTAATTCCAAGAATCCGAAAATGAACCGCAGGGAAGAATGCCTCATTATCACGCGTGATATTGGACAGTATATAAACCTGTTATTCTGTTGGGAGGCGCACATTACGCTTCCACGTGAATTCTGTGCGGTCGGTTTTCACACGACATACTCAGTGGAAGACTCATAGAAAGCGGTGAGTGTGCAGAGCTGTGTTAAATGTGATTGAAATCTTGGTTTAGCGTTTTCCTTGTTTGGTTATGGAGGTGTTTGGCCGAATAGATTGTTGTCAATTTGACTTTTCGAAGCTCTGAGGAAGGCGAAATCCGCGGAAACGTCAGCTTGTACGTAAATAAAGAAATAAAATAGCACCTCGTATTTGCTGAACAGTAGAAAGAATTATTCAATCAATGCTGAGGTTAATAGAAGATTGGATTTGGGAGTTAAATGACATATTTCATGACTAATAAAAATCCCTGAATGGTAAGCAAACCCGAAAATGATACGATAACACAGGGTTTTAATAACAGCACCTCAAGTTTCGCCACTTGTTCTTTATGTATCTGTGATTTCACTCGAACTCCGGCTGTTGGAACAGGATTTGTTGGTTTATGGATTAGAATCCTCGGTGCTGACTTCAACCTGAACTAACCTTCAAATTGTGCTCATGACAAGAGCATTAGAAATCACGAACCTCTTGTGATCTCTCGATTGAAATAACAAGGACCTGAAGTCGGTTTTCGAATATCGCCTTGTGGTTGGCGTACTTTCCTTAATATAACCTTAATCTGATTGTTTACGGTCACCTTAGACTAAAATGCATAATAGGACATCCAGGAAACAATTATTCACGTCAGCTGTCTTAGATCAATAATACGACGAAAACAACAGTATGCAATATAGATCGAAGAAAATTGTTTAGGCTAATGTTAGACTTATGTCTTACTACTTTCAACTTATGGTCCTCTCCTCCAGCCGGAGATCGCTGTTCTACGACACTGCGTCTTAACTGCTCTGCAACTTTGAGAATTTGCTCCTCTTGTTCTTCGTGTCGCAGGAGTCTCTCACGTAACGAAAACAACTCTTGCTACAATGAACAAACTAAAGGCTCGTTTACTCATTGGCCGAAATAAGTACCTTTAGTTCCTTGTTTTCTTCAACATAAGACGCTATTAGTTCCTCATTCCTTGCAATCCTTTCGTATAGTCTGTCCAGCTCTACTTTGGAATAATCCGCCATGCATAAAGCATTCCGCAACGAACGTTCGTCAGAGCGACCTAAGAAAACCAGCAATTATAAAATGTTTGTTTACTTTTCTTAGCAACATTTGTTGTCAACGGGCTAAAAACGCATGCCTTGTAAACTGCCTTGGTTCTCCTGAACTGAAACCTGAGCCATAGCTATACAATGCTTCTTCAATTTGGTTATGGAGGTCGAATCATTCCAACTCTGAAACAAAGTCCTCTGAAATGTAGACGCTACAAGGTCGCATTAACCCCTTGCATAGAAAAGAAGTAGAAAAAGTAGAAACTTACGCTGAAAAATCTCTATCTTTACACAAATCTCAGGGCCATTCTAACTTAGCGGGCTAAACCGCAAGGAACTAAGGTGACGATCTGTACGTACAGGGCACGCACGCTTGAATCCGAGTCCTCGAAAGAAGACTTGCTCACGCAATCAAGAAGAATAAGGTGCGACGTAATCGGCTCTGGCTGAGACGAGAAGACGCCAGCCATTCGACGCCGTCTATGACACCGGAGAAGAACTGTTCCTCGGAACATGCGACAGCACAGGAGTCGGTGGCGTCGGCATTTACCTCAACAAGAGATCGTCCATGAACATTGATTCATTCGAACAACTTACAACCCGAATAGGACGTTTGCAATTAAAAAGACGTGGATCAATTCTGGCTTTGACAATCTTCGTCGTTTAGCGCCGAAATCATATTGCAACGAAGAAGAAGTCGAAGAGTTCTATATGGACTTGGAGAAGTACTACAGAGAAGACCACACATTCTTCAAGGTCATCATTAGACATTTCAACGCCAAGACTGGACCAAGAAGAACGTCTGAAAAACGTCACATTAGAACCCATGGACTAGAATAAAACGAACAAGGTGAGCGGATATCTGAGTTTATCATGAAGACCAAGACGACAGATGGTAACTAGCAATTCCAGAAGTCCCAACCTCAACGCTGGACATGGGGCACGTCCATCAATGGACGGTACACAACGAAATACACCGCTTAACAGTAAGTGGAACGTTTTACCTAACCGATGTCGTTGCTGTCCCAAAATTTTACACGGTATCAGACCGTCGCCTCCTTTGCGCAAGATTCTATTCCTCACGGAAAGGAGAAAAAGTCGCCATATTCAAAAAACGAAGTCCTAGAACCACTATAAACTGGGACCTTTTCAATTCACTAGTCGTCTATAGAAAAGATGCCGTTGTCGAAATGTCGACGAAGAATACCATGGGCTTATTTAACATGCTCACGTTAGCGCAATGAAAGCTGAGAACTCGAAAGTCACCAAAATACGTCTGTCTCCAGAAACACTCGAGCTGATACGCCAGTATGGAATCGTACGGGCTGCAGGCAACCTCGAACTAACCTCCGAATTTGCAAAACAATGCAAACAGATGATAAGAGAAGACCTTAAAGAGCAGCAGCTATGGTCGAAACTGCACAGGCTGGGAAAAGAATTAGCGAAGCCCACAGAAGCTTCATCAATTACGAGAGCAAGATGATCGCACTCCGACGTCCAGACGGAACAGTTACAGCGTCCAAAAGTGCAATGGAGAAAACCATTCACGCATACTACTCAGATCTTTTCGATGGCTCCGTTCTTTCCCCATATAAGATAAAGAAGGACGGATATGTCATGCCACCGGTTCCCCCTTCCGAAATTTGACATGCTATTTCGTCGGTGAAAAATCCAACAGCGCAAGGTTCGGACTCGATAAGATCAGAACACCTGAAAACCCTCCGCCAGTCCTCGTATGCACAACTGCCCGACTGTTCACACGTTAGCCGTCCGAATGAAAGGTCCCTACTCAGTGGAAAACCAGGAAGACCGTGCTATTGTTCGAGAAGGGTGAGCTCCANAAGTCACCAAAATACGTCTGTCTCCAGAAACACTCGAGCTGATACGCCAGTATGGAATCGTACGGGCTGCAGGCAACCTCGAACTAACCTCCGAATTTGCAAAACAATGCAAACAGATGATAAGAGAAGACCTTAAAGAGCAGCAGCTATGGTCGAAACTGCACAGGCTGGGAAAAGAATTAGCGAAGCCCACAGAAGCTTCATCAATTACGAGAGCAAGATGATCGCACTCCGACGTCCAGACGGAACAGTTACAGCGTCCAAAAGTGCAATGGAGAAAACCATTCACGCATACTACTCAGATCTTTTCGATGGCTCCGTTCTTTCCCCATATAAGATAAAGAAGGACGGATATGTCATGCCACCGGTTCCCCCTTCCGAAATTTGACATGCTATTTCGTCGGTGAAAAATCCAACAGCGCAAGGTTCGGACTCGATAAGATCAGAACACCTGAAAACCCTCCGCCAGTCCTCGTATGCACAACTGCCCGACTGTTCACACGTTAGCCGTCCGAATGAAAGGTCCCTACTCAGTGGAAAACCAGGAAGACCGTGCTATTGTTCGAGAAGGGTGAGCTCCACGATATCTGCAGCTATCTTCCAATCTGCTTGCTGTCTGCAGTCTACTAGCTCTTCACTCGAGTCATTCTAAACAGGATTGAAAGAACACTGGATAAACGGCAGCCATGTGAGAAAGCAGGATTTCGAAAAGGATTTACCACGATGGACTACATCCACACGAAAACAAGACTCGCCAAAGTCTTGCGAGAGTACAAAAGACCTTTCTGTCTCACTTTCATTGACTTAAAGAAGGCTTTACTCAATGGAGATAGTAGTCATGAAAGTCCTTGATAATCAAGGAATTCCCACTCAGTATATAAAGACTCTTCGCGTGCTTAACAAAATTTTACGACCAAGATGTTACCATTCTACAACGATATTAACATTGACGTCAAAAGCGTAGTTAGACAAGGCGATACCATCTCGCCAAAATTACTCACCGCCACCCTCAAGAACGTCATGCGAACATTGGAATAGGACAACATGGGAGTGGAAATCGATGGTCGGCAGTTACACCACCTTCGCTTTACTGATGACATCGCTTTTACAGCAGCAAACACTAGCCATGCAGAACGAGTGCTCGCCGACTTTGAAAAAGCCTGTGGAAAGGTTGGTCTCCGACTAAATCTCACAAAACGATGTTCATGAGGAGCACACTGGTTTCGTATGCCCCATTCGCGCTCAACGGAAGGACTATCTCCGAATGCTCCAGATACGTCTATCTAGATTGGACGACCATTTTAATCCGTGGGTCCCACTATGATACTTAGCTCCAGTGTTGAGTAGAAGGAAGCGAGCGGCTTGGAAACTTTCAAGAGCATTGAAGAAGTAGTGAAGAGAACTAAGAACACCCGACTCCGTGCCTACCTTTTCGACTTAATGGTATTTCCTGCCCTAACGTGTGCGTAAGAAACGTGGTCGCTGCGTAAGCAGGGTGAAGAGACACTCAGCGTTATCGAACACGCAGTCAAAAGGACGATGCTAGGAGTATCCCGTTCCACATAATTAAGGGAAGAGATCCAACATTCCGACCTGCGTCAACGATCAAAAATCAAAGATGCCGTTCTATGAGCGAAAGTGTCGAAGGTAAGGTGGGCTGGACACGCAATGCGTATGAATGACAAGCAATGGACAAGAGCCGTTAGTGATTGGGTTCCTCATGATTTGAAACGCACTGCAGGAAGACCACCGATCCGATGCTCTGAGTTCTTCACTGAAGGCCTAGAAGAAAGATATGATGCTCAACAATTCCCTAGAGCGAGCAAAACCCACTGAGCTACCCCTGAACGCGATAGGGAAAAAAATAAGATTTATTGGTGGCCGTTCGAGTCACTCGACGATCGATGGGGCTGCAGGTGATACAGGTGGTATAGAAATCCGTGAATGCTTAAATCTTGCCGTTGTAGGATAGGGATAATATGACAAGTCTTACAGTCTTGCAGTCTTAGATAAAATATCCATTGTTAATATTATTCTCAAAGATTTCTTCTATGTCTATGGTAGTGTGGTACCCCTTCCTTGCAGGCGATTTTCAAAAGACTACCATACATAATTAACAATAACTTAGTGACCAAGAGATTAAGTAAACTGCCTGCTGTCTAACAGCAGGTTTCGTACCTCTTCGTCATCTTTTATGGATTTGTTTCAATCCAACTAAGGAAGTCTATGGAGATAAAATAAGGAAACAATTAACCCAAAAAACGAAGTGAGTGCATAAAAGCAAGAAAAAATGGCATCGAAATTCGCACCTGGCTACAATCCCTCAGAAAACACCTATTGGAAACGTTATTTCTGATGAAGTTACGGATTTCATAACACGTAGGTATGCAGTTCGTACCAAAATTCCTACCTCGACTCGGAAATTTGAGAATGGGCTTTTGCTCTCCTGCGGTAATGTTAGCAAAGCAATCGTTTCATCGATCTCACGATTCCAACGAGAACAAAACTCAGGTGGAATGGGCGGTCGTAACGATTCACTAACAGCAAAACGTCGCGTGGGACTCGGTGTCTCGGCACATCTATAATATCGAATATCTTGCTTCTTAAGACTGTACTATTGTAAATTGGATCATTGCGGCTGCGTAATAGCTTGGTCCCAACCATGGTCAGTTTTTACTGTAAAAGTATGAACAAGTACACTGTACACTTCAGACGGGGGTGCGAACGCGCAAAACCTGACAAATAGAAAAACTTGACGTACGGTAAGGTGAGTGCTTCTAGATCGCGGTACGCTACGAATTTAACTTGCTTATTAAAATCTTCATAAATTTTCCTCAAATGAGGGATCTCGATCCGATTATTCTCAAGACTGCGTGGCACAGCTCCAGGTGGCATTTAGGAGTATATCGCGGACCAAAAGCGACCATTCCTTCTCTAAGATGAAGATGGATTCAGGGTGGACTCGCTCTCTCTGCTGCGCCAATTTGGCATATGCTTTCTGTATTTACGAGGCGCATTTATGCTTGCGCGTGTGCGTGTGGGTGCGTTTTCGCTTATACGGATTGCATTCCACGAGTCAATTCCGCTATAAGCTTTCAATAAAGACATGGAAGTATATGAGAAGCGGTGAGGAGTTGTCTTCAAGAAATATGCTCCTTCCCCACTCTGGGAGAGACTGGCAAGCTACCCGTGTGTATACACAGCCACCTTCCTCAGAGAACAGCAAGCTATACGTAGGAGTAAAAAACGCCGAAAGTCGTAAAAAAAAAGAATCTCATTTTCCTGACTCCGAAAGAGCCCCGATTCGGCGTTATTGTAAGCCGCCTAAACCTCAAAGAACTGACGATCTGTACCTACAGTGCACGGGCACTTGCATCCGCGAGTCCTCGATAGAAGATATGATCATGCAAGGAAGGAAAATAAGGCACGACGACATCGACGTGGCCGAGACGAGACGACGCCACCAATTCAGCGCCGTCTTTGACACCGGAGACGAAGTGTATCACGGAACATGCGACAGTAGAGGAGACTGCGGCGTCGGCGTTCTCGTCAGCACGAGTTTACCCATGATATCAATTCAGTCGAACGTCTAACAACTCCAACTGGACGTCTACGTTTGAAGAGATGTGGATCAATATCGGCTTTGACAATGTTCCTCGCTGTCGTCAAACAAACTATGTCGAAGAAGAAGCCGAAGAGTTCTACGTGGACTTGGAGAAGCCCATATAGAGAAGACCACACATTCTTCAAGGGCATAAATGAAAATGTTAACGCTGAGACTGAACCAAAAGCACGTCTGAAGAACGTTACTTTGAGATTTACGGATTAGAATGAACGAGAAGGGTGAGCTACTGTCTGAGTTTATCATGACGACCAAGACCGTCTATGGTAATTCGCAATTCCAAAAGCCCCAACCTCAACGCTGGACGTGAGAGTCTCGTCTCCCGTCTCCGAGTCATCCTAAACAGGATTGACTGAACACTAGACGAAGGACACTCATGAGAGCAACCAGGGTTTCGAAAAGGATTCAGTAATGATTGACCACATCCACACGGTAAAACGGCTCATTGAAGTATCGAAAGAGCACAAAAGACTGCTCTCTCTCACTTTCATCGATTTATAGGCCTATGATTCAATTAGGATAGAAGCAGTCACGGAAGCCCTTGATAGTCAAAGAATCCTTACTCACACTAAGAATCTTCGTGAGCTGTACAAAACCTTCACAACCAAGATATCACCATTCTACAGCGATATTAGCATTGACGTCAAAAGAGGAGTAAGGCAGGGCGATACCATCTCGCGAAAAATATTTACCGCCACCCTCCAGAACGTCATGTGAACATTGGAATGAGATAACATGGGAGTGAAAATCGACGTTCGGCAGTTGCATCATCTTCGCTTTGCTGATGACATCGTCCTAACAACACCAAACATTAACCAACCGGAACGTATGCTTGACGACTTTGATAAAGCCTGTGGAAAGATTGGTCTTCGACTAAATCTTATAAAACTGATGTTGCTGAAAAACAAACTGGTTTCGTATGCTCCATTCACGCTCAACGGAACGAATATCTCCGAACGCTTCAGTTCTATCTGTCTAGGTCGGGAAATCGATATGATGAACGACCTAGCTTCAAAGCTGAGCAAGAGGAAACGAGCGGCTTGGGGAGCTTTCAAGAGCATCGAGGACGTAGTAAAGAGAACAAAGAACACTGGACGCCGTGCCCACCTTTTGGACTCAACAGTACTTCCTGCCCTAACGTATGCGTCAGAAACCTATTCTTTGGTAACCCGGACGAAGGATCACTCAGCGTTATTGAGCCTGTAGTCGTACGGGCGATGTTAGGAGTTATGCCGCGTCACACAAGTAAGGGAAGGGATCCGATGCTCCAACCTTCGCTAACGATCAAATACCAAAGGTGCCGTTCTGTACGCGAAGCAGTAGAAAATATGATGTGGCGGGCAGGTAATGCGTATGAATGACAACCGACGGACAAGAGCCGTTAGCTACTGAATTCCTCGAGATATCGAACCCTCTGCAGGAAGACCACTGGTCCGATGGTCACAGTTGTTGTTCTCGAGAAGCCTTGAAGAAAGATGTAATGCTCAACAAGCTTCTAGAGCGAGGAGAACCCTCTGTACTAGTTTTGCACGAGACAGGGAAAAACAGGAGGTTTATCGGCGTGCGCTCGAGTTCCTCTACGATCAACGGGGCTACAGGTGACAAGTGATCCATATCTAAATTCTATAAGAGAAACAGAAATGTATTACTTCTAGGTTCAACAGCATACACAATGATAAGACAACGATTTGAAGCAATCTTGTGGATAATGTTAAATTTTTACTTGCTGCCCATTACAATTTTTCATGGTAGGGTAATAATTGCGACAAGACCACATGATGCTGAGATATTTGCAAAGCTCCGGATCGCAGGTGTCTGCTGTAGGGAGCGAAAACGTTATTAGCCTTTCCGGGGCTAACTAGTCCACCACCACACCATGCGGGTCCTTCGTTTCGCCTGTCTCTCTGCCAGTTCTATCGATCATCCCATCCCGGAAAGGGTAATAACGCGTTCGTTTGCCACCGCAGACACCTGCGATCCAGAGTTTTGCAATTATCTCGACATCGTATTGGTTTTTCAAGCCCACCTAGTTTAACATCATGTAGAAAGACCACAACTTTTTTTTAAAAGCACAGTATAGGCCGAGCTGTAATTCCACATTTCTTCTGCCTTACCTTATCTGATTAAAGAAGGAAGGCGATAAATCTGAAAAATTATAACTTACCTTCTGGTTTCAGACGACATCTAACCAACTTTGAAAAGTGTCAAATGAAACTGAAAACTGAATACTGGATGCCTGTGATAAACAAGTTATTACCAGCGGCCAATCACTATCAACAACAACCGTGTGGTATCAATGGCCATTGCAGAGTGAGGTTATCACATTCAAGATGTGCTGATGAAGATTTGACTCGTTACGAAGACAAAGATACTACATCGAGAAGACGAACAAGTGTGGACTATCGACTCGGAGCACCGCCTCTGACGAAGGCGAAGGCCAAGTCGTCGAACCTTAGCCAAATAAAGTTGTTTACCAACATTATGTTAGTTTATCAGTGAATGAATAAATGTTGGTTAGTCATCCCGAGGTTTTAAAAAAAAAGTGAGTTTTGAAATTTTGTACGACGTCGTTAATTCTCACCACTTGTACTCTCCTTATGAAGCCAATGTGGGAACCAAACCTGATATTGCTTTCCTCCATAGCGAGTATCAGAGTTGATTGATATGCTTTCATTGGTACAAAAGTTTACGAACACATGTTGTTGTTTGCCATAACGCTGATGCTGTCTCTTTTGCTGAACCACAACAGCATAGCCAGTTTTCTAATGTTAATATTATGGCTCTTCGTGATTTTTTTTTTGCTTTCTTAACTAACCGTACTGAATGGCAGGTGTTTTCAAACACTAAACGTTTTAAACGGTTTTAATTCAAGTGCATAGCAAAACCACTGTTCGCTAAATGGAAGATTTTGTCTCTTCAAAGCGTCAAATACAGGAGTCTATGGCGCCAACGTGTACCTAATTCTTACCCCAGTCAATTGATTTTCAAATTCTTACTTATACTTATGCGTCCCTGAAGAAGAAAATGAGGAATTGGTTTTCGAACTCGAAACGATTCTCTGTGGTGATTCTAAGTGCGACACTGGGAATTTGCTCACAGAAAATGGAAAGTATCCAAAGGATGTCGATGCAAGATAATTTCAGACGCCGGAGCATGCTTATACTAGCAAGGACAAAGATCTTATCTTGTAGAAGCGTAATCAGCGTAATCAGAAGTCAGAAGAATATCAGCGGAAATCTGAAATACCACGTCTGAATTTGACTTTTATTCCATCTGCGAGTGCTGTCATCTTGTGATGACGAGATTTCAGCGTACGACGACGAGCAATTTTTCTGGTACCTACTCTTAATACTTCTGTGGGACACAAGGTACTGCTATCATCATGTAGAAAACGCTTTTCTCATTCCTGATTGTATGTGTAATCTGCTGCAAAAGTTAAATATCGAGCCAAATCTTTTATTTCCTTTATTTCTTCCGTTCGATTCCTTCCAACTATCGTTTCTTCCACAATGGTCCTGAGATAATTGCAAAAGGGACCACAAGCCAGATCGAACAGCGGTAACCCTTCCTGGGGACTCAAGTTTTACGTACTTATTGTCCACTATAATTTCAAGTTATACATTGTGATTTTGCCTACAGCTTTAGTTTATCCGGGTTCGACGCGATTTGCACTCCTCGGATCACTCTGGGTGATTGCTGATGACGCCGTTAAGGTAAAAAGACAGGCTGAGAGAAAGGCAGCACAAGGGCCTCAGTGGTGCCTTGGGTAACACGTAAGTCCTCGGATAATCAATCCGGTCTTGGGTCCAAGTTCTGCAAATATCTCAACATTATTGCGGTTGTATTTCACAACATACCCCAATGTGAAGTGGCGCATGTAGCGCAGTGGTTGGAGGCGCCACAACGACACACACGTGGAATCGATTCCCGCGCTCACAGCCCACCAAGCCTTCCATCCCTCCGGGGTCGGCAAACTGGTACCAAACTAATTTGAGAGGCAGCACTGGCTCGATACATTGGCAGGCCACCGCGAGTCATTGTAAAGGACACATATGAATTCAATCGCCTCCAACGATACATAATGAAGTCGAATGCATGGCGCATCCCTTAGGATTGATCAACGCCGACAGCTTCATCCGTTATCCCTTTATACCTCGATGTGAAGCAATAAAGGAACTAGATAAATGTTACATATATTTGTTTTATCGTTGACGTTTCTAACAAGCGCGATTTATCCTTAAGTAGTAATTGGGAATTTTGTAGCTGCTAATGC